ATCAAATCAGGTAATATTAGAAGTGAAAGGCAAATTGATCAAAAACGCCAGTTAGACCTGCTACAGCTCTAAGATTTTAGGTTTATAATTTTTAACTATTTGTTCCGATAAATTTTTAACTATTTGTTCCGGTAAACATGCAATAATATCGCATGTTATAAAAAATTACATAAGGAGTGCAAAACTCAATATAGATTTAAATGCCACGTAATGAAAGATAAAATAAAAAATTAAATATTAAAATATTTTCTTGCGTCAAAAACAATACAAATTTTTGATAAACAAAATATTAAATTAACAATAAGTAATTATTTCAAGATATAAATAGACAACTTACTCTTTATTCATTATTTTATTATGCACAAAAATTCTATTTATCAAAATATTGAACGTTGACGAATAAAAGCTTGTGACAAATGATGGTCCCTATTAATTTCTGCGAAGCGAACTCGACTTATAATGAGATTTAAAATATATTTAAACAATCAAAAACCTGCATTGATATATAGTTGTACAACATTCTGTGTCTTACGGCAAGATAATCGTTAAATAGTATATTCCAAATTGGCAGCATTTTTTAAACTTCTAAACTGTCAATATCTTTTCGTATTGTCATGAATAACGTAGCTGACAGAAATTTGATTTAGCGCTTTTCTATATATTTTTTTAAAGATTCTCTCTGGATAAATATTATAATGCGTGGTTATTTCATCACGAAGCGTAGAGAGCTGACAAATTCGAGCCGGAGAAATAATGTCGATGCATTTTCCGACCTCTGTCTTTTTTCCCTTCTCTTCTCCTCACACATAATTGTCCGTCCGGCCACGAATAAACGCTATAGCATCGCTCCGATCCAATTAGTTCGGTTACAAATTAAGCGGTGTTACTATTAAATTATTGCACATTGAACGAACAATTATCGTTGGGTCCTCAGATACTGCGAGACTCCTTTTTTTTCTCTTTTTCACGAACGTTATTAACGGCCTGGAGATTCATCAAAGATTCCTATTTAATTACGAATTAACTCCTTCCGTTCTGTCGCTTCTCTCCATTGTGTCCATGTATACATGTGTACGTTTGTACATGTCCTCCGTATGTTCCGTATTTATACAGTAATATGAATATATATAATATGTAGGATGTTCTGCTTCTTTACTGTATCTTTTTTCGGCGAATCTTTGATAAATTCAATTAGTTTTCAAATTACAATAAATCAGATAAACAATTTTTGTGTAATGTCATACGAATATTCTTTGTTAAGATTAATATTCTTTACTTTAACAATATTTTAATTAAAAGTGTAATTAAGACAATACAATATAAAATATAAAAGCCTTTTTAAGTTGATCAAAGAATTCGCGGATGAAAGAAACGATATAAGTAGCAAAGCCATTTAGTATGCATATTCATATATATATATATATATATAGTATATGTTTCTCTCATTAGTGCCTATTTATTGTTAGTCAAGGAGGAATGTAGTCGTAGTGGTCATGTTGAGCGAGATAAAGAATCGTTCGAGCCAGCCGGCATGTTCATCGTCCGGTATCTGACTAATATAATAGGAGATCCTATAATTGGCACGGTGAAAAAGCAATTTTTCCCGTGCATCGCTCGGAGTTGAATGATTACGTTTAACTAGGCCCTTCTTCACATCGCAGTTACGGCTGAGACGTAATCCCTAAAATTATATGGGCTAAGTGTCGTCTCGCCTGTACCCGCGTGCTCGATTATCCTCGGTTATAATTAACATCGCTTAGGCTATTGCTCGTAGGCGAGTTGCAAATGCTTAACTTCTGGTCTGGTTAATTATTATTCGGCGCTACGCTCAAATCATGTGATAATTCCGAATGTCTATTAGATAGCGTCTATGACGACGTTAACAATCAACTACGCGTTGATGCGAATCGCAGATGTTCGTGTGTTTTAGGGCTCTGACGGATTTTTGATTGCTCTGAGATCTGTGAATGCGTAAAATGATGCGGCAGTCAGTAAACATATCAATGACGAATTGCTGAAAGAAAGAAGTGAACGCAAAATGACATTTTTAGAGACTCGATACTCTCTATAATTATCATTAACTCGTTATATTAAATAAATAGCGATAACAAATTAAGTTTTCAGGGGAATATTCATCGTATATATCTATATCGTGAATTCAATTCACGCACGCGCGTTTTGCTACGAAAATTTACCTTACGTTTAACTCTGCAAGAATCAACTCTATTACAAATGCACAGTTTGCGAACGGGCGAAATGCTGAAGAACGGCAGTCTTCCTGCGGAACTTAGCACCGAGAGAGAGAGAGAGAGA